CCTCCCCCTGGTGTGTCTGGTGGTCCCCCAGCCTACACCTGAGGCTGCCCTGGGGCGTCAACACCCCCCCCCCTCCCCCTGGTGTGTCCGGCAACGTGCAGAATCTTGTCAACCATCAGCTGAGGGAGGCGTGCCAAGCTTGTCCTCTGAAACAGATTTTTCTGCGTATATTTGTAAGGTTTTGGGAGCCCGGGGCAGGATGGTTGTTATCCTCGGCAGTGTTGAGGTCCGGGTAATAAGCCCAACCACCTTCGCAGCGAGGGGCAAGGACGTGCCTCGCCTTGGATTCACACAGACGTCGTGAAGAATCAAGAATGTAATCAGCGCCACTTTACCACCGATATTACGGATCCGACCAACCTTTTGCTCAGTATCAATTCAGTCCTTCAGTGATGGTGTAGTTAAGTCGTCAGAGCATGATGCGAGAACTTAAACCAAACCATTACAGATGTGGGTAGTCTGTCATCACTTCCTGGTACAGAATAACTTCAAAACTATCTGAATTTACTCAGTGAGTCAAGTTACTCACCGTGAGCCATGGGTCTCCCAGCTGGTCAGGGGATAACACAACTTTTAATTGTTGACCTGGCAGCTCAGAGTTCACAAGTATAGTTCACTGGCAGCTCAGAGTGCATCATTATTATACAAGTCTCCTTCAGGTCTCTTGAGATGTGCAGCATCACACTCCATTTTGTGGAATTGAGCAAAGATGATAATTTTTTCCATCTTCACTTAACCTATCTTAGCTTATGCATATTCAAGATTCTCAGGTGTCACAGAAAAGAAGAGCCCTTATTGCATGAAGGTCTTGGGTCGAGAGTTGTTTGGCACCGACACGTAGTGGTGTTATTTATTATAATCTGTCTTTTACAAGTCAGGTAAAAATGTTGGAGGCTAATGCGTCATCAACCAGTATATTGCGAGGGTAGAGCATCTCCGCCTTGCCAAAGGTATACTATACAAAGGTACTTTGTATAGTATAACACTATACAAAGGTACTTTGTATAGTATAACACTATACAAAGGTACTTTGTATAGTATAACACTATACATTTGCAATCAAATATGCAATGAAGAATTCACAACTAATTTGTGATTAGTTTTTGCAATCCTTTTTTAAAGTAATCATTATTGTCAACATATTTATTGACAACATTGATTTACAATTGTGCTTACTCGAGCTAATTCAATTAGGTGTTATTACAGTGGCGATGTTGCTTATATTCACTGCCACATAGGATGAAACATTATACATAAGACTTAAGGTTTAACCCTTATATTCAACCACATATTTCATCAGGTTATAATCATTACATCACATATTACACATATTGTAATCTACGAATTAGTCAATATAATTTCCTTCTGTTTACTGCAACACAGGACAGTGAAGGCTTCATAAGAGATGAAAGAAAACTTTATTTTCTCCTCTTTTCTCCCTTTAGCATTGTTCTTCCTTCTTTAATATGGAAAAGCAAATTTAGGATAAATGGTTAGTGTCGTCCAATATACCAGTTTCAATGAAATAGTTATACAGTTGGTGGTTCAATAGGCCGGGAGGTCTAAAATATTTTACAGTTTCACATTCAGTTAGGTTTGACTAGACCACACACTAGAAGGTGAAGGGACAACAACGTTTTGGTTCGTCCTGGACCATTCTCAAGTCATTCTCTTTCTCAAGTCAGTTAGGTTGTGTTCCAGTGAATGATTTAAAGGTTTGCCTCAGAGTTCACAAGCTGAACATTCTGGTAGTGGGACAGACTCACTAACCTGTCAGATGTGCCTATAATTAAGGAGAATTCGTACCATGACTACATCACATTGTTTGGTCCGGTAACTGAGCTGACTATATTGTTACAAATACCTATTGTTACAAAAGTTGTCAAACCATTTAATACTGAAGCTTTGAGGTCTTTGGGCATTTCTTTTGTCTACTAAATCTGAAGGAACCATTATAATTTATATGGTTAAAATAATTGCACTAGATGATCCAGTCGCACTCTTTATTTTCTTTCTTGCAAGCCTCATGGGCCAATCAATCGACTAAGTCTGGCTTTTACACCCCACCATGGGATGACATCAGCATAAATTTCATACAATGTGCATTATCAATGGTAAATATCACCAATCATGAATAGCCATTATTTATGAATGGTTATTTAAAGACTGCAGAACACTTTTAATCACAAAAAAAACACTTTATCCCATTGAGCTAAAGGTACTCAGTGGCTAGAAAAATACCCAATAGCTCAGTCTGTGTTAAAGCTTCTTTAGTCGTTCAGTTCAGTTTTATATTTATATATACAAGAGTTCTTACACTTGTACAGCCACTAGCACGCGTAGCGTTTTGGGCAAGTCCATAATCCTATGTTCCCTGGAATACGACCCGCCAAATAATTTAACAACCAGATACCCATTTTACTGTTGGTTAAACAGAGGCTACAGTTAAGGATTGACGTCCAGCTAATCCTCCCCGACCAGGATACGAACCCAGGACAAAACGCTCGCGAAACGCCAGGTGTCTTACCACTACACCACGGTTACTGCCGAACATATTAGATTAATATAAGTGTTCTAATAAAGATTAGAACATGGTAGCAATATGTGCAAGTTATATACAAAAAAGTGTTTGCATGTGTACCAGACTAATGTGGTTCAAGAATACAAATATAGCCAGCTGATAATTGGCAAGGCAAAAATTTGCAATATGCAAAATATTTATGTTGTCTCGCCACTGTATTGTCTGGTCACTGTAACCACCGTCACAGTGGCAAGAATGGGTAGATGGGTACCACGTCCGGTACCCGTCACAGTGGCAAGAATGGGTAGATGGGTACCACGTCCGGTACCCATCACAGTGGCATGAATGGGTAGATGGGTACCACGTCCGGTACCCATCACAGTGGCAAGAATGGGTAGATGGATACCACGTCCGGTACCCATCACAGTGGCAAGAATGGGTAGATGGGTACCACGTCCGGTACCCATCACAGTGGCAAGAATGGGTAGATGGGTACCACGTCCGGTACCCATCCACACTATCACCACCTCTTCCTTTCCTTTCCTTCACCATCATCATCACCCTCTCCATCATCCCCTTTCCTAACCTTCACCACCATCTTGGACCTAGATTCACGACGCTCCATGTATTTCTTCGTAAGTAGTTGTGCTACGAAGGTTCTTAAGTATTGCCTACGAACGTTCATACGTCCAAATCAGAAAGATAAACTTACGAAGATTTTAGCAACTTCACTTAAGTCTCGCTAGATGTCACTAGGGCTTTTCGTTTGACCAATCAGAGAGAAGGTAACATTTTTCATCTTACAGCTGTAGCCAATCACAGCGTTGTTATATTGGAGTGTATCCGTGTTCACTTGCCACCTATTTACGTCGATTTTTTTTTTTATAAAATTAGTATATTTTGGAGAAAAACTATGTGTTTTCAACTTCTACAGGCAGCACCAACATTGCAGTAAACAAATATGTTAGATTTTTTGTTTATCTACGTAATTCTAAGAGATATTGTATGTTTTCCTTGTCTCTCCCAAGGTTTGAGAAGCGATGGTATTTATTTCCATATATATTTACCTAAATTTAACCAGGGCCACTAAGTATCTAGTGGCCTAGACGAGGACAGAAAGCCGGCGCCAATTGTCCTAATTATATTTTCTAGCTTGATTTTGGCCTTTACGGATTCAGCGGGTAGGCGGTTCCATGGGTATATAACCCTCTGGGTGAAAAAACATCTGTTTTCATTCCTACTTCAAAGGACATACTCTCCAACACTATATATGTGACTGCCCTGTTATCAGTGACTTCAGACCAAATAGTATGAAGTACTTTGAGCTCAGAACCTAGCCTCTTCGCTTTTACAACCTTCTCAACCATTCAACCCCTTCGCTCTCCTTCACAAGCTTTCCTAATCATAATCACCTTGCCTTTATCACAACATAAGCAAGGGGGGCCTTGTAGCCTGGTGGATAGCGCGCAGGACTAGATATTCTGTGGCGCGGGTTCGATTCCCGCACGAGGCAGAAACAAATGGGCAAAGTTTCTCTCACCCTTAATGCCCCTGTTACCTAGCAGTAAATAGGTACCTGGGAGATAGTCTGCTGTCACTTGCTGCTTCCTGGTGTGTGTGTGTGTGTGTGTGTGTGTGTGTGTGTGTGTGTGTGTGTGTGTGTGTGTGTGTGTGTGTGTGTGTGTGTGTGTGTGTGTGTGTGTGTGTGTGTGTGTGTGTGTGTGTGTGTGTGTGTGTGTGTGTGTGGTGTGGAGGAAAAAAAAGTAGTTAGTAAACAGTTGATTGACAGTTGAGAGGCGGGCCGAAAGAGCAAAGCTCAACCCCCGCAAACACAACTAGGTGAATACAACTAGGTGAATACAACATAATTCCTTCAATAAATTATAAATAATCTACAAAATACCAACTAATATAGACAAGGTAGACAAACTAATCAAGTAGAAAACATGTTGGATGAGTCTAAGTTAAGGTTGAGTCTGGTATTAAGCAGTGTGTGATATAGGTGTCATTTGCCATTTAACACAGAGCGTGGGGCAGGCATGGGAATCAAAGCCGCCCTTCTAGGACAAACTATCTGTTCAGTTTGGTGAGACTAGCCCCAAGCGTCAGGTCTACAACCATACACATATTAGTTTATAGATAGATATTAATAAACATTATGAGGGTAAAAGCAATAGATTAAATGTTGCTCTATTAAAGCTCATCTTCACTCTGTATTATGTATAATAAACTCAAAATAATGCTAATTTAGTTAACTAAAGCAAAGTGGTAATAATCATAGTTCACTAAACCATGATAATTGTATAATAATAAATACGTATATATATATAATTGTATAATAATAATAATATAATATTATATTATAATATTTACATTATAATTGTAACCCCAACTTGGAGCTTCCTATTGATAATTTCTTACTTAATATTGTACGACTCGAGCTTCATAACAGCCTTCATTATGCATTATATTATTGAAGGTGAGAAGACGGTAAAGACAACACCACATGTGGTCCTCAAGACAACACCACATGTGGTCTTCAAGACAACACCACATGTGGTCCACAAGACAACACCACATGTGGTCCTCAAGACAACACCACATGTGGTCTTCAAGACAACACCACATGTGGTCCTCAAGACAACACCACATGTGGTCCTCAAGACAACACCACATGTGGTCTTCAAGACAACACCACATGTGGTCTTCAAGACAACACCACATGTGGTCTTCAAGACAACACCACATGTGGTCTTCAAGACAACACCACATGTGGTCTTCAAGACAACACCACATGTGGTCCTCAAGACAACACCACATGTGGTCCTCAAGACAACACCACATGTGGTCCTCAAGACAACACCACATGTGGTCCTCAAGACAACACCACCTATGGTTCTAAAGACAAGACCAGATGAATAAACTAATTTTAATTTAATAATGTAATTTCTTTTACATATATATAATCATTGCCCAGCACGTGTCAATGCACAAAAAAACTGGTATTTGATGGGATCATTTGGCGACTCCACCAACATGTAGTACAGCTCCGTGTTGTACTAGACAGCCACAGAAAGATTAAACTTAGAAGATAAATGGAGACAAAGCGAGAGCGAGGCCAGTAAACATAGAGAAATAATACATTCGAAATTAGCAAATAAAGAAAATCTGATGGAGTGTGAATGAGTTGAAATCAAGAGTTTTGTTAAGTAAGCGGCTTTTGCTGTACACGTATGTTCTCATACACCATTTTCAGCTTGATGTATTCAGAGATGAGCATATACAAAGTACAAAGTCCGTCCTCCGAATAGACAGTACGTTTTAATACTAAATGCAATAAGTACAATCCTGACTGTCGGCATAGTACATAAATACACTTAATCGCCTGCATCGCACTAAAATATTGTAAATATTAGAGCTTACCGGAAATGCTGTATAGAAAACCACGACCTAACCTAACCTTGGGAGTGTAGGAGGACTAGCATGTAAATAGCATTTATTGCTTCTTAATTACAATTAGTACTTAACCTATGGCTATATTGATATTATAATTTTATAAAACTAATAAAACAAAACTAAAGTCTTTCAATAAATTATAAAGTAGCTCAGGATATTTTCAAATTTTCTATAAAATCTCTATATAAATAAAAATGAAAATGTTCGTTTGTTCAAAATCGCTAATCTCCGAAAGTTCTTCACCGATTGTTTTGAAATTTTCCCACAATGTTCCATAAGCATCAGAGCGGGATGCGAGTGGAACAGCGATGCGAATTTTATATACATATTATATTAATGTCATGTCTGTGACGGAAAAAACTTGTTTTTTTTTTTAAATTGCGTTTTTCATGAGTTTTTCATGTGTGAGAAATCTTCGAAACCTCTTTACCAATTTTGACACGACGTTGCATTCGAATAGGCGCGTGTTTCTATATACCTACTATATACATGCCTCACCTGTGACCGGAGAAAACATGCTCATTTTCTTTTAAACAGCGCCATCTGTTAGACGTAAGAGTAACACACGCTGTAATCTCCCAAAGTTCTTCACCGAAAGCATTGAAATTCTGACACAACGTTCCATTCGAATATGTGCATCTTTTTATATGCCTACTATATAGATGCCACCCCTGTGACAGGTAAAACGATGCGTTTTTGAAAAACAGCGCCATCTGTTGAGCATAATAGCAACATGCACGCTATACTAAATATGTCACGAATTCTATTTCAATGTTTCCGATTGGATTGATAAGTTTTATTTTCATAGATTTCGATTCATTTCATTTTTTATTGAATTATTTTGTGTGACATTGTGTTGGAATTGAGCTGTGTTGTTTACCATACCGGTATTTACGTAAGCACAGGTATAGATGCCACACCTGTAACAAGTAAAACTATGCTTTCCTTGAAAAAACAGCGCCATTTGTTGCATGTAAGAGCTACACACACATGATGTACTAAATATGTTACAATTCCATTTCAATGTTTCTGATTGCATTGATAAATTGAATTTTCATAGATTTTGATTTATTTTCATTTTGATTTAATTATTTTGTGTGAATTGCGATGGAATTGAGCTGTATTGTTTACCATATTGTTCATTTCGTGAATATAGTTTATTTTTTTTACTTTTTAATATTTTCATTTCATTTTTTAACTTTTTTCTTATTTTTCAGTGATGGGAACATCAGATCACTTGAGGTTCCCAACTTTCTGATGGGAACATCAGACCAGTTGGGAAGGCATCGGACGAGGGAGTGGGGAATGGTGGGGAGGACGAGGGGACGGAAGTGAGAGATGGTGGGGAGGACGAGGGGACGGGTGAGAGGGGAATGGTGTGGAGGACTGGGGTACAGGGAGGTTGCTGACCCACAGCAACGCGTGGCCGGGTACTGCTAGTTGTTTAATAATACTGACAAAGAAATTCTTTATATTTAAAACTTACGTATATAAAATTTAACACAAAAACTTCAACCGAAAAATTTTGAGTGTATTAACAGAAAATGAGGAGAATATATGGGGAGGTAAATGTAACAGCACAATTAAGTGTATATATGTACTATGTCAGGATTGTACTTATTACATTTAGTGTTAAAAGTTACTGTGTGTTCGGAGGAAGGGTTGACAAAGTCACTCAAAGTTGTTGTTTCCTGAAGAACTCTCTCCCGCCAGAACACAACCCAGGCGCTTACCTCCCACCAGACGCCACTGTAACAATAATGCAATAAGTCAATCAACAATTATTCAACCATTATTTCCTGTCTATGTTGAACCAACTGTGTCTTCAACACTCATAATGGAAGTGCTCTCCTTTCTCCTTAATAATATATCCCCTATAATGGTTAGCGGCGCCCGGGTCTCTTTCTCTGTGCGTCCCTAGCATTCTCCTTTCTTCGTACTCTACCGTTCTATCTGGCTCTCACTCTATGTCCCTCTCTTTCACTCGCCTAACCACTTGGACTGGACGGTAGAGTGACGATCTCACTTCATGCAGGTCGGCGTTCAATCCCCGACCGTCCAAATGGTTGAGCACTATTCTTTTCCACCGTCCCAAACCTTATCCTAATCCCTTCCAAGTGCTATATAGTCGTAATGGCTTGGCGCTTTCCCCTGATAACTCCTTCCTTTCCATTCTCTCTGCCTCCCTCACTCCCATTCTCTCTTCCTCCCTTCCTTTTATCTCTCCTTTCCTCCCTATCCCTCCTATTCTCTCCCTCTCTCTCTATCCCATTCTCTTTCTTACTCTCGTTCTCTCTCTCATTCCCTCTCTCCCCTTCCATTCTCTTTCTCCTTTCCTCCCTCTCATTCTCTTTCCTTTCACCCTTCCAACTTCTTTCCCATTCAGTAAACACAATATCAACGTGTAACGTTAATACAAAGGTGAACCATTACCATCAATGATGGTAATGAACTCAATGATGAATTACCGTTGCTCCGAGAGAGAGTGATCCAGCCGGCCACAGGGCGAAACATGCTCGAGTAGCGATGAATCACTTGAATTAACGTTACTAACGTTGAATCGACGTTCAATCAACGTTTCCTACGTCAAACCAACGTTATCGGCGTTGATTCAATGTCAATAACAGCTACAAACAGTTGTTAAATAACTCTGTGGGCAATTAAATTCATATTTCAGACATCACAGAAGCCATTGGTTGTCGCAATAGGGGCCAAATCTAACTCTAGACGGGACATGGGCGTCGACCCTGACCCCCATTTTCCCTTCCAATAACTCTCCACATTCAAACATAATTCACCAAGGAGCGGTCCGTGAAGGTAAGTACATCAGTATCCCCCCCCCCCTAACCTCAGACAGACAGATATTCTGTTCTATATAGATTATTCCCTCTTACATGCATATTGTGAAACGACATATCAAATGTCGTTTCTGTCGATAAATATTATTTCATTTATATACACGTCAAAAGACTCATTAATGGTTCAATTCTTTCGTGAAGCAGAATCCTTAGTTCGGTATTTTATATGTTAATGAAATCGACTTGAGAATGGTCCAGGACGGACCGAAACGTCGTCGTCCCTTCACCTTCTAGTGTGAGTGTGGTCTGGTCAACATGTTAATGAAATATATGTTAGGATTTGTCACACAGGAGTGTGATGTGTCTGAGGTAACGTGTCTAGTGTCTCTGCTTAAATATCATCCAGTAATATAATATCCTTCATTTGCATCGGGTATGTCAGTATCTTAATTTATCACATCATATGTATTCAGATATAAACTTTTTCCCAGACGAATAATGCAAAGAAAAGTTGTCGTTTGTTATTCAGGAACCTTTACACACAGTTGACAGGAATTATTAACGTCATAAACTGTGACTCCAGTAACGCAGGTACACAAAGCTGTTATTAGACTAAACTTCACAAACGTTATCTATAAATAAACTATCACTGTCTAAGTCATTTACATGTACTAAATATCATGAAATTATTTTCATCATAAAAGCCTACTTAATATAACAAAATAAAGAATATGGACTATATGAAACGGTTTGTAAATGTCCCGAAGGTGAATGAATAAATTACTTTAAAAAAACCATGTTAGGAAGGTAAGGACAGATTTATATCAAAGTTCTACAAACATTGAAATGCAAGACACATTGAAAGTGAATGAAAGATAAACTTCAAAAGAACATGAAGCAATTACACGAGAGAATAAATGGGTGACTTGCATGACTTGCATCATATCCAATATTACCCAATATTTCGTGATCTATCTTGTATTGAAAGTTTGTTTTCACCTCATCCAAAACTGTTGTAACATATCACCTCACCCAAATGCAGGTATATAAAATGAAAAGCCATTTGAATTGTAGCATAGTAAGAAATTTGTTTGCAGGTTATAGTTGTGTGTGTGTGTACTATAGTCTTTGAAAATGAAATAAGTTATTACGAAACGCGTTCAAGTGTCGCGTCAGACTAGAAATAAAAATGAATTTTGGAGAACTGATCTTTCAATTACCATCGACAGTGAAAAGAACCATAAGAAATATTGAGAAAATTCGTGTTAGAATTATTAATCTTACTTTTTCGGTCATATTAAATAATATATATATATATATATATATATATATATATATATATATATATATATATATATATATATATATATATATATATATATATATATATATATATATATATATATATATATATATATATATTAAATATGACCGAAAAAGTAAGATTAATAGTTCTAACACGAATTTTCTCAATCTTTCGTACATTGCGCTTCACTGTTGGAGGTAAATCAAAAATCACTTCTCCAAAATTCATTAATATTTCTAGTCTGACGCGACACGGGCGCGTTTCGTAAAACTTATTACATTTTCACAGACTTCACAAATACACAACTGATTAGAACTTACGTCTCTCTGATATTATATCTACATTTGAGTGAGGTGGGAAGG